CATTGGTTATAAAATCATCTTCTGTTTTATTTATGAGTTTCAGAATGCTTTCTCTGGTTAATTTGTTTTTTTCTCTCTTCTTGTCGCCTATAAGGGTATCCTGATAATAATCCATTAAAGTGTTAATCCAACAAACGTTGTCCTGATAATGTTCCACTTTAATGGCTTCTTTTAGTGTCTCATACTCTGGGTTCAAAGGGGTCTGGAGATAATTATGATACATGCTTATATTTGTGGCATCTTTTAAGTTTTCCTTCTTTGGGTTGAAATCTGTGTCGCCATCTACCCTATCAACTTCATATACTTTAATACATGCTACATACGGTTTCATAAATCCGAGATAAGCATGTATTGACGGGTCTCGTTGTAAGTCTAACATCAATTTTATAAACAGCCTCTTGTCATAAATGAAAACTTTCTGACCTACAAGTTTTTCAACATACGATGTTGTTTTAATGTTTACTGTTCGCCTCAAATGTCTATCTCCCCCTTGCACTTGAACTAAAGGCTTACCTGCTTTGTCATAAAATGATGTTTTAAGTGTCTCTCCTTCCACTTTGTATTTATAAAACATCACTTGAATAGAATAGGTATGTTTTTTACTAGGGCTTGTTTTTCCTGTTCTTATATTCTCCTTTTTTGTTTCCTCCATTCTCTCGCCTAGACTGGGCTTATCCTTATGTTTGTCATACATCTTATCATATTCCTTGTTGGCCTTTTCCTTGTCCTTTGGTGTCTTGGCGGTAATAAATTTTCTTATCAAATTGTCGGCTGTTGTAAATTGGGCTATCTTGCGTTCAGAATATAAGTCTATGATGTTTCTGACTTTTTCCTTAGTTTCTTTGTTAAAGCGCCTTTTATAGTTATCGTATACTGCTTCTAAAGCAGTGATATTTCTCTGTATAGCTTTGGTCATAAATTACAATATATATTAATTTATAACAAAAATATTTCTTTAAATGTATTTTTCCGAAGACTTTTTTAGACTGATTGAAAATCAAGTAATATTAGAGTGTTAAGAAAAAGCACTTAAAGAAATATTATCTACATATAATAATAGTGAAATGACAAAACCATGACAATAGAGGAAATCCGTGAACAACTGGCATTGTACAATAGGCTATATTATAATAAAAGGCGTGAAGACAAAGAGTATTAAGATAAAAAAGGGCTTCAAGAGATAGGTATCTGGAGAAAAAGAAGATGGAAAAGTACATAGCCGAAAATGGTATAGATGTTTCAGTCGCGAAGTTGACACCAGAACAGAAGGCAGAAGCACTAGGAAGTAAAAAGAAAGGAACGAAATACGCCATGAAAAACTGTAAGGTGATAACAGTGATACCTGAAGAAGAACCAGAAGAAGAGAAATAATATTTTTTACAAATATTATTATTTTTCTTACTTATTTATATGAGCGAGAAGCAAAAAATAATTAGTGATGTTTATTTGGATAGAAGCGGGTTCGGTTCTAAGGCTACCACGTTGGAAGATGCAAGGGTCAAAGATAAAACGATTACAATGGCTGATGTTGAGGATTTTTTCAAGAAAAACGTAGAAGAGAAAAGGAAACCAAGAGGTCAAAATAGTTTTGTAGCACCGCATCCGTATTTTGAGTTTCAACTTGATTTGTTTTTCACATCTAGCAACGATTTAGAAAACCAAAAGTTTAGAATAGGTTTAGTGCTTATTGACATATTCACTAAGTATGCAACCGTTATACCAATCAAAAGCAAACAGCCACCAGATGTTTTAGCAGGTCTCATGGAAGGATTAAACAAAATGGATAAGAAACCGCGCATGTTATATTCAGATGAGGAAGGCAGTTTATACAGTAAACCCATAATGGAGTATCTGGAGGACGAGAAAATTGAAATTCATAGAACTCGTGGACATCCAGCGTTTGCAGAACGCTTCATTAAAACCTACAAAGATAAGTTATTTACGCGCGTTGAAGCGGATAAGAAAAAGGGTAAAGAAAATATTCAATGGACTGATTATCACTTTAAAATTCTGTTGACGTACAATAATAAAGATATACATTCATCTCATAACATGACACCAAAGGAAGCACGTTTACCAAAAAATGAACTGAATGCAAAACTAGTTTTAAGCATAAACGCTAAGCGTAGCAGAACATACCCAGAAATAGACGAAGGCGACAACGTCAAGATAATGAGAAAGAAAGGTATAAGTGAAAAAGAACATACATCACACTGGAATAAAACAATCCATAAAGTCACGAAGATTGAAAAGAAATTAGGACACAAGTATTATCATTTGGACGATGATTATAGGTCATACTTGCGACATGAGTTGTTAAAGGTTTCTTAAGAAAACACACTTAAAGAAATAACAACTTAATATATTATATTAGAAATGTTCAGTGAACAAGAACAGGAAGAAATCATTAATCAATTCTTGGATATTATTGAGATGAAGAAGATAATCAACAACAAAATAAGTATGTGCACCAAATGCAAATTTACACCGCAAAATATGAACCTATATCACTTACCATTGTCTGAAAATATTGTGAAAACATATGCAAATTTAATTACAAAGAGTGCGAGACATGCACCACGCTAAGAGGGTTGAAAAGTACTGTTTATGGTTGTAGCATGAAAAAATTTGACAATGCAGTTGAAGCGGTTGAAGATAAACCTTGTAATGAGGAATACAGAGGGTGTGAAAAAAATAAAAGAAACACACAAATGTATTATTATGTGAGCCTAAACCCGTTGCCAACATACAAAAAACTTCAATCAAAAGTATTAAAAACTGATACAAAATCCTACAACGAAAGCATCCACAACGGAAATCAAGAAATGTTATTACAATTTATGGCGCGATAAGGAAGATATAAAATCGTTTTACACCAAGCTTCGTAATCAGATAATTGCAGAATACGACAAAACATTTAAGAAAGACGTTGATACAAAACAAAGGCTTGAAAAATATATGGCTTCACACATTAATCCAGTAAGCCAGATATTAAAAAGCATCTGTGACTATATCACTAACAATGAAGAGCAAAATCAAGTTGAACACAAACTGTATTCAAAACAAACCTCGTCCGCTTTGACTGACTCACACAGCCAATCCTTTTCCCGAAGTGGGAACCCCGAAACCCTAAACAAAAAAACACCTTCAAGAAGTTGTCGCAGTCAATGTCATTCTGGTAGACGTTCACCTGGCGGGAGCTAAGTCGTGCTTTACGGGGTAAGGGTTTGGGTCATACAGGGACATACTTAGCCCTCCCGGCACTGCTTCAGCTCAACCTGCTTTTTGCTTTCTGGGTGGTTTTTGCTTCGGACACCGTGCCCTGTGTGGCCTGTTCATGGTGTCAGACGGCTTCTACTTGACCCAGAGCTCACCTGGGACAGGAAGGGACGCTTCATCCCACGTCGTCATTGGGTCGGCACTCATCGCGCTGATCTCGCACTCGATGGTATCCACTGTCGCGCCCAGTTTGGCGAAGCGCTTTGCCTAGGCCTGAATCGTCTTCCGACGATACGTTTTGGATGTACTCTAGAGCCTCTCCTTCTTCAGCCATGTCTTCCAGGTCGCATACAAGGCCGTTGCACTCGACGATGACTTCTGCAAGCTCATGTCCCACCAAGTTGAACGCGATGCTGCTTGGCTTTCGAAGCTCCTCCTATCCATGACGGGATAAGACCAACAGAGAATACCCACAAACCAACACATGCCCAAGCCCAGGGACAAAACAACCTACCTACCAGTGCCCAAGCTGTTTATGAGCTTTCTCTCCAGTCCTCGGTGCCAAATCTGTTGCCGCCGCCTCCAGGCCATACCTGGTCGATGCTCATGCCATCACCGAGCGGCGTGGGGATCTGCACGTGTCTTTTGGTGTGTCCGAATGCCTTGGTCTCCTTCAAGTACAGCTCGTTCAGGGGCGGGCCAAGGCTGTGGTTCAAGAAAAGAACATCCAAGCTAGTCTCGGTCATGGGCATCTCAGGAACCTGCACGACCTTCCGGCTCAGGTTGAGCCTCACGCGGTGGGCAGCCATCTTCTGAAGTCTTGCGGGAAGCATCATGACTGGCTACGCACTGCTTGTTTTCCTTTTAGTTTTGCGATATTTTATGTTAGTAAACGAATTTCAATTGAATAGATTTCTGATTTAAATGATTAAATTGTTAATATCATCATCTAATTGAGATATAAATCAATCCAAAAAGGCTTCGGACACAAGCTGCATGATGCGGCATCAAGAGGCAGGAGAGCAATCGCATCACACAGCATCTGGATGCGCCGACAAGCAGAAAACATGCAGGACAGACCTTGATCAGCGTCCCACCATTGGCGCGGACAGGGGCAGAACATGACAGACCCCACTACCCCATACTATGCCCAATAAAACGAATAAACCTAACCTTGCCCAGTTTAGGATGCTACATCACCTGATAAATAGGATGAGATAGAGCATTTTAAGGATAATGGGCTACTAGTTGTGATTATATGGCCTATATATGTTCACGGTGATGTAATAACCCAAAACGGGCATGCCCTACCCTGA